TCCTCCAGCCCGTCCAGCGGGATGCGGAAGCACGTGTCCGGTGTGATGAAGCCGCGCAGCCCACTCCACTCCGTGAGCAGCACCGGCAGCCCCATCGACATCGCCTCCGTTTACGCAACGCAGGTGTGCCACTAACCCGGCGATGCTCTGCTGGACGCGGCCTACCGCACACGCCACTACAACCGTGTGTTGTCGGTGCCTGTGGACCCGCAAGCTGATGATTCGTACTGGCATGAGGAGTTGAAACGGCGGGCCCGCGTGCTCTTTCTGCATATGCGTCCCATCTCTCGTAAGACCGTGCACTTCATCAAACACAGCAGTGTGGTGAGCGTGAGCGTCTCTCGCAGCCTCAGCGAGCTGTCCAACATCCCACCCAACTGGATCAAACCGCTGCGGGAGTCGCGGGACCAAGTTTGGGCCACGGCGGACTTCTTCGCCACGATTTACCGCCGCAACGGCATCGATCCGGCGAAGATACGCGTCGTGCCGGAGGCGGTGGACGTGTACGACTTCGACCCGGCAAACTACGAGCGTGAGCCCATCACAATCCCTCCAGGCGACACGGCCAGTTTCGACAGTCTGCCAGATCTAGCACCGGAGGAGCGGCTGCGGCGCTACGTGTTCTTATCGAACTTCAAGTGGGAGGCTCGGAAGGGGTGGGATGTGCTGCTCGGTGCGTACTGGGACGCCTTTGGCCCGCACGCCCCACCGGAGCTACGCGGCCGCACGACGCTGGTGATCAAGACAGAGATTAAGCGCCAGTACGCGGCGGGCGTGGGGTGTCCCAATTTCATGCGGTTTCTTGAGTCGTGGGGAATGAAGGGCCATCTGCACGGCATGCGGGGGGTCGAGGACTTCCCTCATGTTGTGGTGCTATGCACTTCGATGAGCGCCGTGCAGCTGACACAGCTGTACGGGAGTGCGGACGCCTTCGTGTTCCCGTCAAAGGCGGAGGGATGGGGGCTGCCGGCGAACACGACCGCCGTTGCGCGTCGTCGCCGTCCGCAGCAGCGCATCCAACAGCCCCGGGTTGAGGCCACAGCAGGCACAGGGAAAGTCGGTCTCATAGGAGATTACGGCCGGGAAATGCGAAGGGACAGCGGTGCTGTTCCACATTCGCAGCTGTGTCTGGCGGGTGCGCCACGGCTGCCCCACGCGGCGTCGCTGGAGCCCCGCGAGCAGCGGATGCATTCGCCTTCCGTACGCGTCGCGGAGAGAGAAAAGGGCAGAGAAGAGGCTCTGGACTATCGGGCTGCTGCGCCCCGCCGTAAGGTCGTCCCGCAGCACCGCCACGCCGCGGCTGCTCCACACCTGCCAGTCCGGGTACACCTCCTGCATCCGCAGCGACAGCGCCCACCCCCCGCGGTCCGGCGCGCCAGCACGTGATCGGGAAGCGTACTCGAGGGGTGCTGCGCGCCGCTTACGGAGAGGGCGCCTGCGAGGCCGCCGACGGCGTTGTAGAGGCTGCGGCTGAAGATACCGCAGTTCAGCGACACCGCGTCCACCACCTCCTCCCACGAGGCGCGTTGATCCGTGGCGAGGTACCCACTGAACCGCCGCGCCAGAAAAGGCACCAGCATCGTGTCATCGTTGGTGCTGCCCACAATGGCTGCCTTCTCCAGCACCTGCAGGCGTTGCAGGTCGTGCCGCGACAGCTCCGCTGGTACCAGACCGGGCGGAAGGAGGGAAGGCGAGCCGGGCTGCTCCGCCGTTGCCAGGATGGTGCACTGCGCCGCCGCCACACGACCGCCGTTGCGCGTCGTCGCCGTCCGCAGCAGCGCATCCAACAGCCCCGTTCCCGCGCGCCGCGCCTCCGACGCATCGTCCGGCTCCGTGTGCGCCATCCTCGACGCGCCCAAGAAGGACGGCAGCACCACAAAGTGCGTCCCCGCACCCCCGCCGCGCGTCCGCAGACCGGCGTCCACCAACACCTCCAGCGTCTCCGCCGGCTCCGTGCCGTAAACCGAGTCGCAATCTTCTACCGCGTGCGCCACCACCGTCACCGCCTCCGCCAGGCACCGCGCACCTCCGCCGTCGTTCGCGTTCGTCAGTCGCAGGGCCAAGCGCACCGCCGCAACACTCACTTCCCACGTCCGCCACCGCGCACCGGACGTCAGCGCTCCGCCCCTCTGGGCCGCCGCCACCGCCGACCCCGCCGTCGTCGAGCCCTTCGCCAACACGCCACGCACCGCACTCCGCACCGCAGTGGCCGACACGCGACTCACGACGACGGCGTGCGCCACCACCGGCACCGCCGCCCCGTCGTCCGCGCGGTAGCACAGCGCCGCCTCCGACAGCAGCAGCGGCTGCAGCAGCTCACGCAGCAACTCCACTCCTGTGCTGTTGCTCAGCGGGTAGCCGACGAGCGGCATAATGAGCGCGATGGGGTTGGCCTTCCCGGGCTCCAGCTGCACGGGGTGCACCGGCACGATCGTGACCTTTGGGACTGTGATGGTGCTTCCAATCGAGTTATAAAGGATGCACATAATTATAATAGTAGTTGCGGTTGTGACCAGCTTCGCGTAGTAAATGCGTCCTCTTGCAGAAATCCTGTTGTGGGCAGCGGACTTGCGCTTGGCCGAGGGCATCGTCACCGGCGCTGCAGGACCATGACGGAGGCGCTGAAATGGACCGGATTGTGGGGACGGTGGCACCACCATCGCCTCGTCACCGCTGACACCCGGAGGCCCACTGTCGCCCTTTCGCATGGTGTCGACGGATGTAATTTTTTAAGCAAAGAAAATAAGAAAGAAGCGGCCTACCAACACCAAACAAGAAGAACCGAAGAAGAACCAACGAAAACGTGCCTCACTTTCGGGAAGGAAGTGCCGTGTTTACGCCCCAACGCGAAAGAGGTGAGACGGTGTAGAACTGAAGCCCTAACGGACTGCTTTGATGGCGTTGATGAAACAAACGTGTGGCACGCCTAAAAACAAACGGTCTTAAAACGATGTTTTTTATTAACATTCTCCAACTAAGAAATTCAACAGTAAAGCGTCGATGTTGGAACGCTTTTTGGTGGTTTTCGATATCCACAATTACGACTGGGCAGCGTCGGCGTTTACCGGGCTGTCCACAGCACCCGGGTTTTTGATTTTTAAGTGTAATGAAGCCGAGAACACGCGCTTTAATACACACAGAAAAAAAAATGGCGCGAATGAAAACGAAGCATGAAAATACAAAAATGAGATATCGAAGGTATTAATATATTTTAGTTCACGTCATGACTATCGAAAACTCTCGTAGTGCACGCGGAACTGACGCCGTCCTGTTAGAGAGCGAATGTGTGTTGTGGTGGTGTGAAGAAGAAGGAGAGAGTAGTGGAGGTGGAAGGAACGACGTGCCTTGGTGTCTCATGCGAGTTCGCACAGCGGCGGTGTGGGGGAGTTCCGTTAAAGCTGTTCATTTGGTGAAAGATGGAAGCAAGGCACGGAGAGGATACTACGAGCACCGGCAGATGCAGACACCCCTTACATTTCTACGAAGCTTGCAGAGAAGCAGAAACGTGCCGGTGCGCTCTTTGCTCAGAAGCGGACGTTGGTAAGCACGCAAAGCTCCCGCTCATCGGGTTCTAATCAACAGCTACACCCGCTTTGTGCTCTCTTCGCGGCAGTCCGTAAAACCCCAATCACACAGGGTGACCCTCTTCACTATCCCCTCTCTTCTTTTTTGGTGGCCGGGAGAAACACACAGTAATACACTTTGCTCAGCTTCACCGTCATCGCAAAGCGGAATCGCGTCTTTTGAAGATGCCTTTCTCCATACGTGCCCGCTACGACGATGACGAAGACGGCGGTGCGCGATGGAAACAAGAAAAGAGAGCCCCCGGTACTGCCGGGGCGGCTCGAAGACAGAGAGGAATAAACACTTTAGAGGGGGGAGAGGACAAAGATTCATAGCAAGGCGGTTAGAGGATATTCAGTAGAAGAAGAAATGATGGGCTGCCGCACAGACGGATGGGCACCGACCCTGCGTGCATGTGGGCGAAGACGCAACAGCGGAGAAGGGAGCCGAGAGCCCAAAGAATAGGTAAAGACATAGAAGAAACGCTGAGAAGAAACGGAAAGAAAGAAATGGGTATAATACTCTTTTAAATGGATCGTTCTACAGAGACGCCCACTTCAGCGCCGGCGACCGGCTGGTCGGGCCAACCGTTGCGCCGCCGTCCACGGCCAGGTCTGCACCCACCATGTGCGAGCCGCGGTCCGACGCGAGAAACACGACGGCCCCCGCGACTTCACGCGGCTGGGCGAGACGCCCAATCGGAAACGCTCCGGAGAATTCGTCCTTGATGCATCCATATTGGGCGGCCATGCGGTGCATCATGGGCGTCTCGCAGGTGCCGGGGCTCACCGTGTTCACGCGAATGTGGAAGGGGATCAGCTCCAGCGCAAGCGACTTGCACAGCATCCGCACCGCACCCTTGCTGGCGCAGTAGACGGACTCCACCGCCAAGCCGCGCACGGCGCACGGAGACGCAATACACACGATGCTGCCACCGCCCTACGCCTTCATCAGCGGAGCCACAGTGCGCATGCCGAGGAGGACGCCGAATGCGTTGACGTTCATCATCCTGTTCCAGATATCCAGCGTGACGTGTTCCAGAGGGACCATGGCATGCCAGCCGGCGTCGCACACCAGAATATCAATGCGACCAAAAGCGCTCTTGCACGCGTCCACCACCGTCGCCCATTGCTGCTCGTTCGTCACGTCCAGCGCCGCCGCCACCGCGCGCTGACCCTCCACGGCGTGTTTGCCGGCGTTCAGCGTGACGGCCAGCTTCTCAACCGAGGCGCCGTTCACGTCCGCCAGAAACACGCTGCAGCCGCGCTCAAAGCACAGCTCTGAGATGGCGCGGCCGAGACCGGAGCCGGCGCCGGTGATGAAGGCAACCTTCCTGGTGAGCTCGTGGGACATCGCGGTGACCTCTGAAACAGTGTTGCTTTGGATGCAAAGAGGAAGAGCTTTCAAAAATGAGTAGAAGAAGGAAGCGCTGAGGTAGCAAAGCTGGGCAGCAGTCGGATGTGGGTCGGGTTGTATACTGCAGCGCAGCGGCAAGCGAGGAAGAACCGTAGAAGAGCCCCGACCGTCGTGGTGGGCAGAGAAAGAGGGAGGCAGCAAATGAACCCAAACGCGAAGAGGCGGGTCAAACATGCGAAGCAGCCTAAAGGGAGACGCGGCGCCCGTCGAAGAGACAACGAAAGCACAGCGGTCCTTTAATACTGCAGTGAGTAGCACAGCAGAGTACGCAATGTGAGGTCAGACACACAGCAAAACAGCAGGTGTCGTTGCGATACAGTCAAACTTGATGGGTGCCGCTTTTGCTGGATGAGATGCGCGTCATCGCGTGGCACCACAACGGAGCAGCGTGGCTGTAAAAGCAGAAATTCACAGCAGAGAAGAGGAGAAGGGAAAGGAAAGGAAAACACTTGGTGTGCGTTGTTCACGTCTGACTGACGAGTTGTACCCACCTTTTTTTTTAGTTTTCTGGAAGCGCGGCGCTGCTCCACGCGTGTTGCAGCTGACTGCACAGTAAGGCGCGCTGGGTGCTGTGAAGTTCCTCTGCGGCTTCCGCTTTTATTTTTAGCACCGGCACGCGGAGAGAGTCGGATGCGGCAGCCAAGGAGCACCAATGGTTGGGCTCCACTGTGCTGCTCTGCGCCGGTTTGACAGGGAGGTCAGACATGTCAGTGCCGGTCACTTGATCAGCTGAGGAGAGCACGATGATGATTGACAGACAGGGTCGAGCGCGCGCTGCGGGAGGCAGAGGCGAACTCTTTCAACTCGGTGTGGCAGAGCCTTCAGCAGCTGTTGATAATCCCGTTGTTGAGTTTGGGGGAGTGGAGGGAGGCGAGGCTGTTCGACCTCTCAGCCACCGACGGCGTCTGCACGTTTAAAGCAGAGAAGTCATCCAAAAGGATTAATAGGAGGGAGAGGTGGAAAAGGCGAATGGATGGGTGCGATGCATTTCCCCCGCATCGTCAGCACCGCCACCTGAGAGCAGTGCGATGCGGCAACACGAGTGAACGATGCACAGTAGAACGTTCGCTTCTCGCGTCTGCGCCTCTCAGTTGCGCATCAGAAGAGCAGTCAAGGCAGCAAACATCCTTGCCGCCGTGAAGAAGAACAGTCGCAGAAGGAACGTCCCACCTTCGTGCAACATCACGTCCGTCGGTCCAGCTGCAAACGCAGCCCTTCAAAGCGTGTGCGTCTCTTGCTTTCAAGCACAAGCTCACCGAAAGAATATGGAATATAAAATAAAGTGATGTTAAGACGCGGCGATGGCAGCGAAACAACACGGACAACTCACGTACGGCGTTGCGCCTAACTCGCTCGTCCTTCCACCCACGCGGAGGAAGGGCGAGCGAGTTCCACGCATTACTTCGTATCAAAGGACAAAACCACAAGGATTTCTTCTTTCGGGGAGGGGAACTGATGCGGTGCCCGATGTGGTCAGAAACAAAAATGAAAATGTTTTTTCGAAGCTGCTGTGAGAGAAGACGCGGACAGAGAGCTGCCTCTACAGCCATCAGCGCCGTTGGACCTCGTCGCTGTAGGAAAGACTGTGGCAACGAACCACAAAAAGCAGCCGCCTGCGTCTGCGTCTGCGCCGCTTCTCTCACGCATCGCTTCGCCTTTATACTCACACGTGTTGACGTGTAAATAACAATAGAGACGAAGAGGAGCAGAAGAAGACCACAAATCGGGCCTCACTTCTCAGAGAGCAGCTGCGCATCACTCAACCCCTTCTCCGGTGACAAACTGTGATTCGCAACGACAACGACCGCGTTGTTCTTCACCGTCAGCTTCACGTCTTCGCCTTCGCGAACGCGGCCATCGAGCAGCATCAGCGCTAGCTGGTTCAGCAGCTCGCTCTGCACAAGCCGCTTCAACGGTCGCGCGCCGTAGACGACGCTGTAGCCGTTCACACCAAACCAGTCGTAGACCTCCTTCGGCACCTGCAGTCGAATGTTCTGCTCCGTCAGCATCGTCTGCACCTGCGCAAAGAGAATCTCGACAATTCGGCGGATGTCGTCGCGGCTGAGGCGGTTGAACATGATGATGTCGTCCAGCCGGTTGATGAACTCCGGCGTCATACGCTGGCGCACCTGCTCCATGACGGCCGGCATCGCCACGCTGCTCGGCTCTCCCTCCGGCAGCCGTGCGATCACCTCCGCCCCGATGTTTGAGGTGAGTATGATAATGGTGTTTTTGAAGTCCACCCGGCGGCCGTGGCTGTCGGTGAGGTGGCCCTCGTCGAGCACCTGCAGCAGGATGTTCGACACGCTCGGGTGCGCCTTCTCGAACTCGTCGAAGAGGACGATTTGGTAGGGGCGCCGCCGCACCGACTCCGTCAGCTCCCCGCCCTCCTCATAGCCCACGTAGCCCGGCGGGGCACCGATGAGGCGGTGCACCGAGTGCCGCTCCATGTACTCGCTCATGTCAATGCGGCAGATGAAGGACTCGTCGTCGAAGAGGAACTTTGCCAGACTCTTGCACACCTCCGTCTTACCCACACCGGTGGGGCCGAGGAAGAGGAAGGAGCCGAGGGGGCGCTTGTGCGAGTGCAGGCCGGCGCGAGAGATGCGCACGACGTTGGTGATGGACTCGATGGCCGCGTCCTGGCCCATGATGGTCTTCTTCAGCGCCGCGTCCATGTGGATCAGTTTCTCACGCTCTCCAGTCATCAGCTGCGCCACTGGGATGCCGGTGGCACGCGCGATGACCTCCGCGATATCCTTCGAGGTCACGCTGTCGTGCACCATGAAGTGCTGCGAGCTGGCCAGCTGCTTGTCCTTTTCGATCTGCTTGCGCAGGTTCGGGATTTGGCTGTGTTGGATCTCGCCGGCCTTGGCAAAGTCGCCGGCGCTCATCGCCTGCTCGAGGTGGTGCCGCAGCACGTCGAGGTCCTCGGTGCTCTGCTTGATCTTCTGGAACAGCGACTTCTCCTTCTTCCACCGCTCCTCCAGCGCGTCGTACTCCTTCTGCTTCTCCGAGATGCGTTCGTAGATGTTGTTGAGCTTCTCCTTGCCGAGCTCGTCCTTGTCCTTCTTCACCGCCTCCGCTTCAATCTTCAGACGGATGAGCTCGCGCTCAATCAGGTCCAGCGCCTCGGGCTTCGACTCCTGCTGCATGCGCAGGCGACTGGAAGCCTCATCGATGAGGTCGATCGCCTTGTCGGGCAGGCGGCGGTCGGAGAGGTAGCGGTGGGAGTTGACAGCGGCGTAGACGAGGGCCTCGTCCTTGATCAGGCAGCCGTGATGGGCCTCGTACTTCTCCTTGATGCCGCGTAAGATGGAGATGGTCTCCTCCACCGTGGGCTCCGTGACGAGGACGGACTGGAAGCGGCGGGCGAGCGCGGCGTCCTTCTCGATGTGCTGGCGGTACTCGTCGAGCGTTGTGGCGCCCACGCAGTGCAGCTCCCCGCGGGCCAGCGAAGGCTTCAGCAAGTTGGCCGCGTCCATCGACCCGTCGCCGGAGGAGCCCGCGCCGACGAGGGTGTGCAGCTCATCAATGAAAAGAATCACCTTCCCGTGCGAGTCGATCGTGTCCTTCAGGACGCCCTTCAGGCGCTCTTCGAACTCGCCGCGGAACTTCGCCCCGGCGACCAGCGTGCCCATGTCGAGCGCGTACACCTTCCGATCCTTGATGCTCTCCGGCACCTCGCCCTTCACAATGCGCTGCGCCAGGCCCTCCACGATGGCCGTCTTCCCCACGCCGGGCTCACCGATCAGCACGGGGTTGTTCTTGGTGCGGCGCGACAGCACCTGGATGGTGCGACGGATGACTTCCTCGCGGCCCACGATGGGGTCCAGCCGACCCATCTTCGCCTCCTCCGTCAGGTCGCGCGCGTACTTCTTCAGAAAATCACCCGGCGGCACAGCGTTGGGGTTCACCCACGACCGGCCCTGCTGCTGACCGCCGTCCCCGCTGCTGTTGCCGCCGCCGCCTCCGCCGCTCCACGGCGTGACGTTGCTCGACTGCCAGCGGCGGCCAACGACCAGCGAGGAGACCGCCTGTGAGTTGGCCGAGTTCAACAGCGCAGGGACACGCAGGCACGGCGTGGGTGCACGCAAGGAGGAGGTGAGAGGCGTCGCAAAGCAGGCGGTCGATGTCGCGCTGGCGGCACGCGCCGCCTTCAGATGAAGCCTCCGCATCATCCTCTGCGTTCTTTATCTGTTTGTTCTTCCGAGAAGGACACAAATGGCGACGCACAGGCCGAAGTGAACGGCCGCACCTCTTCAACGTCAATACGGCGCTGTGGGAGGACGAAATAGGCAGAAAGCGCTTCAGTCTGTTGAAGCAGCAAGAGGACCAGTAAGAGAGCTAAATATGAGCGGCGGAGAGAAGTTAAAACTGTGAAAATACGGAACGCGGAGTCCGGGAAGGTGCAGGAGAGAGCAGAGGAAACGACGCACGTCTTTGCTGGCGCCGTGCGGAACAACTGCTCTTTCTGCTAAAGATATCGTGAGTGAAAGTCCTCTGTGAGAAGTAGAGACCTGCCGCACCATCGAGAAAGCGGGGGTATTTGTGTATACGCGCGTTTCAATACATGGCAACGAGAGGCGGAGCAATACGCAGCGAGTGTGGCACGCCGTTGGGGCGACGGGAGAGTAGCGTTGAGAGACGTGGATTTCAAGAAGGGAGGGAAGACAGAACATGAAAATGCCAGCAAGAGCGGTCTTCTTTGGCGGGGCGTTCGAGGTCTCAGCGCCCCGTAAAGACTGCAGCTGCATACCCGTCAGCTGCGTTGTCCGTCGCCAACAGCACCGTTAATGGTGCTTCGTCGGAGTGTCAGAGCTGGGCGTCGGAGTCGCAGGGATCAGCAGCGGTGGGAGGAAACGGCGACGCTGCTCTCTGCCGGTCCCTCTCCCTCTCCCTACGCACAATTTCTCCTTTGGGCTGGGAAAAGAACTTTTGAAGCTTACGCCGCGCCACGAGATGAATGTGCGGTCGGCCTCGTACATCGAACGCAAAGTCCAAAGGTCATACAAAGAAGTCGTTTACATCGAAAAAGTCAAGATAATATAAAGAAGAGAGAAACGTACGGACTCCACCGTACCGTACGCGGCACAGCGTACTGCCACCTCCGCATCCATACACGCATGCGTGCATGGGCAGTCGTCACCACAGCGCATTCCTCCACCAGCCACTAACGAAGAGGCCAAAAGAGGGAGTTCTCTTCGGTCGATCGCGACCCAGCGCGCTCCCCTCCCCTTCGTGTCTTCGGCCTACTTCTTTCACTCCGCCTTAACGGATGCTGAGGTGTCGGAAGTCGGAGTGGGGCGCGGCGGCGCCACAAAGCCGCGATAGACGGGCGTCTCCGCCGCGCTGCTGCTCAAAGAGCGGCTGTCGAGCGACGCGCCATCGCGTGCGACATCCCGCGTACGCGCCTGCTTCTCCTCCGTTGCGCGCTGCGCTGCGTACGCGTTGCCCATGTCCGCGAGGCGCTCCCGCAGCACATCGTGGCGCGCCTTGAAGTGATCGGTTTGTGCGCGAAAGAACTGCAGCGTCTCCTGCATCTGCCGCATCTGCTGCTGCTTCTTTACTAAGTTCTGCTGATAGGCGCTGAGCTGCTCCGCGATTTCAGGGCCCGGCTGATGGGCCACGGCGGCCTTCGACTTCATGTAGCGCTGCTCCACGCCTCGGATTGCTTCCTCCTTCGCCTCCAGCTCCTGTCGACGCTGGACGATGATGCGCTGCAGCTTCTGAACTCGCTGCACCAGCGCGTATGTCTCCGGCTCCGCGGAGGCCAAATCGTGGAAGGGGTGGACGTTGACGGGGCGCTCCGCCTCGTCCAGCAGGGCGCGCACTCGTACCTTCTCCCGCTGCAGCTCCCGTGTCGCGTTGTTCAGCATCACCTGGAGATCGGGCAGCCGCTTCAGGAACTCCCGCATCTGCGCCAGCTGCTGCGCAAATTGGGCGGTCTGATAGGCCAGGTGCTCGAGTTCGTGCGCCTGGTCCGCGTAGACGATCTCGCCGCTCTGCAGCATCGACTGCTGCGTGTGGGCCCGCTCGTAGAGGACGTTGAGCTCCTTCGCGCGGTCCGTCACTTGGCGGTGGAGCACGTCGCGCTCGTGTTGGACATCGCGGCACCGTCGCTGCTGTCGCGCCGTCTCGTCCTCGGCGTCGCCCAGGACGGAGCGGAGTTGGCGCATCTCCTGGACGAGCATGTCCGCCGTGCGGTGCCTCTTGCCCGCTCGCCGCTGGTACTCCGTCAGCTGTCCCTCTAAGTCTTTCTGCTGCTGCTTCAGGAGCTGGATGTGGGCGTCCTCCACCTTCACCTCGTGCTCGCGCTTTTGCACGGCGTTTTTCATTATTTTAATCTGCGCCAGCAGGAGGCCGAACTGATGCTGCTGCTCACTCAGCCCGTGTTTGAGCTGGTCGTAGTGTGTGGTGTACGTGTTGCGCTCCGCCACCGTCGACTCCAGCAGTTGCTGCTGCTGCCGTATCTGTGCCGCGGTGTCGCCCAGGCGCGTCTCCTGCAGCGCCAGCTCCGCCTGCAAGTTCTCCATGTCACTCAGCAGGTGGGCGCAGTGGAAGGCGTTGTCCTTGGCCGCCGCCTCGTGCGCCTCCGCCTCCTGCGCGACGATGTACAGCTCCTGCCGCGCTTGGTGGTTGTGCTCCTCCGAGGCGGCGAGGGTGCTCTCCAGCACGTGCAGCTGGCCCTGCTTCTCGGCGAGCCAGGCCGCGTTGCGCTGCTGCTGCCCCACCTCCCCGGCGATGTTCTGCTGCAGCAAATTGATCTCCTTCTTGACGGAGGCCAGCGTCTGCTCCTCGGCCGAAAAGAGCTGTCGCGCCCGGACGAGGTCCGCTTCGCTCTGCTTCAGACGCACCGCCATCTCGCGCTGCTTCTCGTGTTCGTCGGCCCTTTGCTGCTCCGTGACCGCGTTGCGCTTCTGCAGCGCCTCGACCACCTTCTGTGCCTTGACGTAGCGGGTGTGCACCGCCGCGACGTTCGCCTGCTGCGTCTGCAGCTCCTCCGTCCGCTCCTGAACCCGCCGCTGCCACAAGTCGTTCTCCTCGTTGCACTCCTGCAGGGCGGTGTTGACGTGCTGCAGCTGCCGGCCCACACCTTGGTACTCCTCGGTGAGCCGCACCTCTTCCCGCTTCACCTCGCGCAGCTCCTGCCCGTTGCGCTCGTGGTCCTCGGCGAGGGTGTCGAGCGTCTCCTGCTGCGAGGTGTGGTAGAGGACCCGTCGTGCTACCGTCACCCGCATCGCGCGCAGCTCCTCCTCCTTCGCGCTCTTCGCGTCCAAAATGCGCTGCGTCTCGTCCTCCTTCGCGGCGATGCTGTCTCTCAGTTCCTTCAGCTCCGCCTCGTTGGTGGTGTTGCTCTCGAGGAGCGCGGCGATGCGGCGCTGGGTGGCGGCGGCGTCGAAGGTGGTCCCCCGCAGCTGCTGGACCAGCCGCTCCTCCTCCCGCTGCACCGTCTCGTGCAGGCTGCGGAGACTCTGGAAGGCGGCCTCCTGCGCCGGCAGCTCCACCGGCTCCTGTGCCTTGACCTGCCATGCCGCAACCTCGCGCTTCAGCGTCAAGACGGCCTCCTTTAACTGCGCCTCCTTCTCCTTCACGCGCACGAGTTTGCTGGAGGTGCGCTCTATCTCGCTGCGGAGGTGCACGATGGTGTTCTGATCCCCCGCCGTGAGCTCCGCCGCGGAGGCCGCCTTCTCGGTGCAGGCCTGAATATCGCTCTGCAGGTCGGTGCACTTGCGCAGCAGCCGCCCTTCGCCCTCGTGGCTGTGCAGAAGGGAATTGTGCAGGCCTTCGTACTCGGTTCGAAACTGGTCCAGCACCTCGTCGCTCTCCAGCGTCATCAGCACTTCCTGGTGCAGGCGCTCATAGTCCTGGAAGGAGTTACACTCCTCGACGATGGTGTCGAAGAGCTTGTTCTCCTCTGGCGAGAAGAGCGGCGCGGAGGGATCGGAAGACGAAGCCGCTGCATAATTGCTGCTGCCGGTGGCAGCGGTAGTCGCCGTCTGGGCCGCTGCAGCTGCGCCGCCGGCGTCGTTGGCTGAAGTGGACGCCCGCATCTCGGCGCTTCTGTGAGCGAGAGCGCTGAGGCGATCGAATAAAACCTCACGATGGGCGCGGGGACAACTTGTGAAGCACTGAAGAAGAAACGAAGGAGAGAAGAGAGGAGGTGGGGAGAGGAGGAAAGAAGGCGGCGAGGGCGGACGCACCTGCTTCGACTGAGCGCCTCCACAGCAAAAAAAAAACCACGCTCCAGAGTTCGCACAGATGGGAAACGAGAAAACATCAGAGGAGATGTGCAGCACCGCGCAAAACAAAATCGCAGGTTGATTGAACACCTTCGGATGCTCCCACGAGCATCACCGTTAGAGGCGGGCCGGCAACGACCAACGCTCTAGCGCGTCTGAATCGCCTTAGCGGTGCGGCACAGCCGATGCACACGCCGCACCGCGGGACTGCAAAGCAAAAGAAGCCATAATTGTATTACGTGGTGCTTCCACGGCGCCAGGAGGCGCGGCGGGCACGTCTGCTTTACATCAGCAATAAAAGGATAAAAACCCGGCCTTTGTCGCGTTACTCCAGCGGTGTGGAGGCGTGCCTCAGCCACTCGAGTACGGTCTGCGCATCGCGCTGCAGCGACCGCGACGGCCACTCCCGCTCCGCCAGCAGAAGCGCGAGTTCCGCCTTTAGGAGGTTCGTCTCTGCAGCGTCCACCACGGCCGTCTCCTGTGCCCGCAGCAGCAGCTCCTCCTGCAACTTCGCCCGGTGGTTTGCCTGCTCCTGCGTCTGCGCCTGCCGCTGCGCGATGGCCGCCTGCAGTTGCGTCATCGCCTGCTGGCCATCGCGCAGTCGCGTCTGGAACTCCTGCCAGCGCTGCTGCTGCTGGAGAAGCTGGGTGCGGGTGGCGGCGGAGACGTTGTTGAGGTGCGCCACCTGCAGCAGCAGCTGCTCCCGTGCGCGGTACGACCGGCCGAGGGCGGCACGCGCGTGGTAGTCCAGGCGAGCCGCAGCGGCCTTCATATCGCGCAGGCGCAAGGCGGACGACCACCACGGCGCGGCGGATGTCGTGGGCGCCAGCTCCTCCACTTCTGCCATGGCGAGGGCGGAGGTCTTGGCCTTGGCAAAGTGGTCGGCGACGGCGGCGACTTCGGCCTCCACGCGGCTCTCCCCCGTCAGCGGCGGGATCTCGCAGTCGACGCCGTAGTCCTCGACAGACTGCACATCCGACGCGCCCTCGTCCGCGGCTGCCGCACGGGCCCGCTGGACGCGCATCTTCTCCACCTTCGCCTCCTCCGCTGCGATCCGGCGCTGCGCCGCGGCGGTGGTCGTCGCAGGGGCGTCGAAGTCACCGGGCGCGCTGCCCGACGAGTCAGACGCGTTCATCGCCCCGCTGCCGCTGTGCCTCTCCCGGCCCATCGCACGCGTCTTGTTGTTGCTGCTATGGGGAGTCGAGTGCGAGTTGCTGCGCTGGCGGCCGTGCACGGCGAGGTCGCGATGGAGCCGCAGCAGCGTCCGTTGCACCTCGGTGGTCGCCACCTCGACGCTGCCCACGACCCGCGTCTGCTCGTAGAAAGCTGGGGGGAGTCGGCGGCTGGCAGGAGACAGGACAAGCGCGCGGCCGTTGTGGAAGAAGACGGCACCGTTTTGCGGTCGAGGCGGTGACAACGTGGGCGACAGCGACGGCGCTGCGGTGCGCTTGCGCTGCTCACGGCCGTTGCGGGCACGCTCCGACGGGCCGGGGCTGCCCGCTCCGCCGAAGACGTCGGCGTCGTCGACCTCGGTGGACCCGCGACGCGCCCGTTCATCCGCCGTGGCGAGACGGCCGAAGAGGTCGGTGAGTTGGGCGCTGCGGGCCGCCGCCTTCTCGCGGTCCCGCGCGGCGGCGACGCGGCTGTGGAAGGCAGATGACATCTGTGCACCGCACAGAGACACACACGTGCGGGTCGACGCACGCGGGGGCACACCCTCTACTACGAAGGAGAGGAAGGGAGAAAAGCACGAAGTAGCGGAGAGCGTTTGGCCAAAGCGTTGCTCTGGTCCTCTAATTCCTCTATGGGTGTGGCGGAGACAGAACAACAGCGTAGAACAGAAGGGGGCGGTGAGGGACTCGCTGCGCAGTCGGCATCTCGATCGCACGTGACACAGCTCAGAAGAGGCACTTGTTTATGTGATGCCACATGAAGCACGGCGCCGTACGGCTACATAGGTATCAAAAGAAAGGGGAAGGTGAGAGGGCGAAGTCGCCGCTTTCCAAGGAGTGTGCATTCCAACTCGAAGGTGAAAAGCTCTCCCCCACGCCAGCCGCTTCACCTCTACATGAGATACTCACCTGGGTTCATTCCTCTTTGCGGTCTGGTTTCGCTTTGCTCTCTTTGAGGTTGGCGTGCCGTGCGCATCTGCACGTGTGCGTGTGTGTGTGTATCTTCGCAGTCACAGCACCACGTGTACTCTAGTAACGCACCGCAGCATTATAATACTCGCCCGGCGCACTCTCCTCCTCCTCCTCTCATCACAGCACTGCACAGCACGTGCATTGGGTAAACAGAGCACATACACAACTGCTCTCTCTCTCTCCTCCGGTCAATGGAACCAATCACCCTCACAGACCCGTAAGCGCACACTACCCATTCCTTCGCCTTCCCACTAGAAGAAGTCCACAATGAGAAGAAGACGCATGAGGGACATCACACAGCTCTGCAGCCCCGTCACGGTGCGCTGCGCCTGCAACGCCTGCTGCACACTCCTCGTCAGTCCGTACTTCCACTTCGCCTCCGCGTCATCGACGGCGTCGTGGCCGGCGGACTCCTCGGGAGTCGACGATGACGGAGCCGACGGAGGCACGTGCGCACGCATCTCATCCTTTGACACCGCGGCCTGCTGCTGCTGCTGTGCCTCGCGCAGCTTCACCCACGCAACGGCGAGCGACTTTGCCAGGCGCTCGCGCACGGTGGGCAGCAGCGTGGCGCTCCAGCTGAGGCCCCACAAGAAGATGCTCCCCTTCGCCGCCCGCTCCGCCAAGGCACCACTGCGGGGCACCTCCTGCTGCGTGAGGAGGCCGTCCTTGAACATGCGGTGCAGCACGTCGCGTGCTCTGGCGTAGGTGGCCACCGACTGCTCCGCCAGTGTGCGCTCCTCGAGATAGTGGTGCTGCAGGAGCAGCTTCATGATGCGCACCCCGAGCACTCCGTAGCCGGCGTACACCACCCGCTCGCACGCCGCCTCCTGCAGAAGGTGAACGACGGTGACGTTGTCGAGCGCGTAGAGGCCGCGCTGTCTGTGCGATTGGACCACCAAGGCCCGAGTAGCCGGCGGTGTCGAATGGAAAGTAAGGGAGGAGGAGGAGAGGGCCGCCGTCGAGGTCATCGAGCTGGCCGCACCGCAGCTCAGCAGCACGATCGGCTGACATAGCTGCTGAAGGCACCGCTGCACCAACTCCGCAGAGCGCGTGTTCTCCGCGACCTCCACCGGCCGCCCAGCCCGGTCCCGCCGCACACCCGCCGACGTCGGCAGCGCCGCGGCCAACTCCGCCCACGACGCGGCGCCAGCGTCGCCGTGCGCCGCCCTTGGTGCCACGCGCCGTCGCAGCGCACGGATGAGGGTCAGGGCAAGGCCGCCGTCCGCGTAGCGCTCCGCCACCGCCTGCTCCAGCGCATCGTTCATGAGAAAGAAGAGCGCGCTCTCCACGCCGACGCGGTAGGGTGTGGTGGGGCTCCACAGATCGTCGTCGCCGCTGCTGCCTGCACGTGTGGGAGGGACACCGTCGCCGACGGCCACCACCACCGGCACCAACCAGCCGTCCGCCACGAGCTGCGTGACGGCGTAGTCGAGGGCGTCGCGGCCGATGCTGGGTGTGCGACTCAAGGCGACCTGCACCGCCGAGACCGGCGGCACGGCGCCCAGCTGATACACCGCCAGCAGCACACACTTCGCCGCCTCGCCGTACTGCTGACGGACGCAGTGCAGGAGCAGCGGGAAGAACACGCGCAGCAGCAGCGCCGTGCCGCGACGCACGCCGTAGAGCTGCGTGGACGGGTCCGCGTACACCAGTCGGTGCAGCACCAGCCGCGTCACGACCTCCTTCAGCGCCACCTCGTGAATCAACGCACTCGCGGAGGACAACTCGCCAAGGTCGACGTGGAGGCTCGTGCCGATTTGATGGGTGGCCGGCACGGCGGTGGTCCTTTCGCCGGTCGCCGACGCCCGGTTCGCTGCGGCGGCCGCCACGCCGCGGACATCCTCGTCGCGTTGCACCGTCTCGCTGAGGTCCGTCAGCGTCATCGGCCCGGACTGCGTCAGGGCGCGGCAGACGGCCCCGGCGAGTGGGCCGAGTTGGTGGGCGACGGTCGACACGAGAAGTTCGTCGTGGGCAGCGATGGGCTTCGCAGAGAGGTCCTCGCAGATCTCCGACGGCTGCGTGGCCGCCGCGCCTACGCAGAAGAGAGGCATACGTGCAGTGGACACAGGAACAAGTAAAGTAGAACGCCAACCGGTATTCGACGAGCGCTCTCGAGCTGTTTCTTTGATCAAGTGAAGGCCAAAACCCGCAGGTCGAATGCACTCCCCGCTGGCGGGGAAAGTACTCTGGAGCAGCGTATAAAAGAAGTGGAGTGGGAGGAGAAGGCGATGAATGAACAGAGCAGGTGTGGAATGCAGAATTCAGAGGACATGAAAGACGATGCACCGGCCCACGCTTCGCCCACTGCGCCTCTCCTGCGGCGCCGCGCGAGCACTCGGGCGAAGCGCAACGCCTCGCTGACGTTGCCCAGCCCCTTGACTCCACCGTGCTCGAGTGTGTACGCCCCTTCTGGAGAATGCCGGTAACGGCAGGTAAGTTTTCATGCGTTGAACCATCACCGTTGCTGACCGCCAACGCGCAGACTAGCCTGCCCTCTCCTCCCACCCTCATTGACCGGAGTGCGGCTTCCTTTCGCCTTGGCCAACAGAAGCAAGTGACGCGTCCTCTGCAAGAAGAGGCACACGAAAACGGAGCTGGAAAGAAAACAATGTAGTCGATAAGAGATGCGAAGCCGCTCATAGCAAAAATCTTCCAGCTCCGGGACGGGCAGAGGAGACAAAAGGCCGGCGACATGTCGGTACGTCGTGCGGGAGCACGTCCACCCTGCAATCGTCCAGCCGGACAGCCAAGGCGGAAAGAAGGCAGAAGGAGTGCTAGTTGGTTTACGCAACTCACGAGACCACCGACGCACCGTCTCCGACCCCTCAACCCTTCCCCCCGTTATCGTGGCTCCGCACAGGTCGACGAGAAACGATTTGAAGCGGTTTTCATCGCGCTTCATTTCCGTGCAATTTATAGTTAAAGACCGAGAAGCGAGAGACAGCCCACCACTGTGCGCGCACACAAATCCGCACCTGCCCTTTCCTACAAGCGCAGGACGCCACTTAACCACCTCGGCGTGCGTCGACGTGTCTCGGCGTGTGTTTGCGGGCGCGTGCGTGTGTTGAAAACACCATGCAAAGGAAGGGAACAATCAAAGGAAAAGGGAAAATGCGATACTGTAAAAAGCAACACAGAAGAAAATTTAAACTCGATAGCACTGAGCGGTGCGCGTGCACCTCAACGCGCATCCGCCAACCGCCACCGTTCCCGTCCGAGCGCACCGGTCGAACGGGTACGCCGCACGTTGTCGCGGTGAGCTCCTCACGCAATCCCTCCCCCTCCCCCTCCCTTTACCCGTCCACTGACGGTCCCTTCACCTCGAAAGCAAACCAGGTGTTATTACCATTTTCAAAATGTGAGTAAATTGGACGGAGGCACCGATCCTTCGAAGCGGCGCAGCAGACACGTGAAACTCCCAGAAAGAAAGCAGAAGACGAAGCCGCACACACCAAAGGCCTTGTGCGTGCGCCATCGTCCAGCGTCGGCTGTCCTGCACCGCTGCCACCGAGGACCTCCTTCACAAATTTCGCCCCGGCGTTTCTCCTCTTATGACGCGGAAAATAAGAATTGCACCCTGCTCCCTCGCGGAGACGTGCGCAGCGCCACCCACTTCTCTTCCTTCTTCTACGAAAGAGGAGCGGTGTGGCGTCGGGGCGGGTGTCGCTCAGCACAGGTGCCGTCCCTCAACCTCTTTCTTCCTCGCTGAGCTGCGATTGGCCATCTGCACCTGTATATGTGTATCAGTGTATGTATAAATGTGAAAACAAAACGAAAACAACTGCGTCCACCAACACGCGCCTGTGCAGTGCCTAGTGCGCCTTGGACGGGTTCATCAGCTTGAAGAAGTACTCCGTCATGGTGTAGGCGAAGATCAGCTTTGGTGCCGACGCGACGATCTTCGGTGTGAGGCCCTTGAAGAAGGATGTCACGCCCTCCTCCCTCAGCATCGCCGTCGCCGTGAACACCGCGTTGCGGCGCTCGCCTTCTGTCTGGAACTGCACGCGTGTCTTCACGACATCCATCGGGTTCGACACGGCAATGGAGAGGCAGGCGCCCACCGTCGAGGCGCACATGTTCTGGAAGAGCGTCGCGCTGCGGTAGTCAGAGAGGCCGAAGACGTAGCCCTTCGTGAAGGCGGTGCCACCGAAGAGGCAGAAGGAGCCCGGGGCGTTGCGGCACATCGTGACCGCCGTGCCCGCGTACATGCCGCGCACGCCCTCCTGACGCAGCAGGGGGAGCAGGCCCTTGCGCATGGCGCGCTCGTTGGTCTGACTCAGCACCTTCAGGCGGTCCAGCGGAAGCAGAAAGACCTCGCCCAGCCCGATCAAGCAGCCCGCCATGGCGTCTTCCATCACCTTATTCGCCTTGCCGAACCACCGCGTGAAGCTCTGGCGGTAGTTGGCGCTCAGGAAGTCCCGCACGTAGGGCTGGCCGGCGAACTTGTACACCCGCTGGAACACCTTGTAGACGACGGCGTACAGGGAGCCGGGGTAGAGGTACATGACCTTGCGCAGGAGGCCGTCGTGGGCGTGCTGCTTGAAGATAATTTGGTTCAAGTTTGCCGCCGTCCCGCCGATCGAGCCGCGCGAGATGGAGCCCTTATTCGCCATGAGCCGCTTCGCCGTCGTGTCAAACGGGTGGAAAAAGGCGATTTCGAGAATACCCGCCCCGGTGGCGGCGCCGGCGTGGCTGCGGATGAAGCGGTCGGAGAAGCTGCGCTCCGTCGCGGGGGCCGTGGTGGCGGCGGACATCGTGCAGCACGGTGGCGGTTAACAGCGATGTGTGTGTATATATTTATAATACTTACAAGCGAGTATGCGCGGTACGGAGCGGTGAAGCAGCGAGGTGAGCTCTATCGAAGCTTTGTGTCGCAGCGCAGAAGAAAAGAGTTGTGGGGTCTTCAGAAACGGAGGAAGAGTGTGGTGGAATTCGCGGTGTTCGATGGAGCTGTGGATCTGAGCTCTCAGCTCCTCGCGCGTCTTCCACGACAGACGCGCGACCTGCGAGGCTGAGGCTGCTGCAGCCGCGTAAGGAGGTCCTCGCGAAGCACATCACATGCGGTTTTAAGGCACGGAGAAGACGTGGCTGCTGTTGCTGCAGTTGGGACTCCCTCCCCTACACCTTCCGGAAGAGCCCAACGACAGCCCTTTCTTCGCTCCAGGGGAGCCGCCCTCTCGAAGATAAAAGAACGCGACGGATCTCGTACGGGTGCTGATTACTGTCATCTTCCTTGATCGAGTAAATGAAACTTAGCCGTTAGGCTTTAAACGTGCCTTTAGCAGACATTAACTTTATTCGCCTATATCGTACACACCGATCAGAAACATCCGTTGCGGCGGCGCCTCCCATGGCACGCACGCGCGGCCGACGCACACATCGAGGTCGCTTCAGCCATCACGGTTTGGCTCCTCTGTTGCCGTCCGTGATGCGCTTTCGGGGTCCCAAAAGCACTCATACGAGAGCGGCGGCACCCACGCAGCCGCACCGCTCCTCCTCTTCACCTACCACCACTCCCGTTTATGTATCGCCATCATCGCCATCCGATTACGCCGCGCCCTCGCTGTCGGCCGCCTTGGCGTTCGACTCTCCACTAAGCCCCTTCTTCTTCGCTGCCTTTGCGCGCGACTTGAGCGACTCCACCGTGTTCATCGAGTGCTGCTGCTGCTGCAGCTGGTGCATCACGCTGTGGTACCGCTTCTCCCGCTGCGCATCGTCCACGGCCGTTCGTTTCTCCTGCGCCCGCCGCTGCACCGTCGCCTCCGCCGTCAGGTGGCGCATCAGCCGCTTCTTGTCTTCGCGGATGTCGCGCTTCATGATGCGCACCTCGTTCTTCACCGCGTTCTCCTCGCGCTCCGCCAGCAGCGGGTCGAACTGCCGGATCGGACGGGGACGGAAGGTGCGCATAGCGAGGGGCGTGCGGTGGTGTTGCACCGCCGCGGCGATGTCACGCACCTTCACCGCGAGCGCCTCGTGCGCCAGGCGAACTGCACGGGACGGCTGCCACGGCTCGGAGCTGCCAGCAGCAGAAAGGCTGTGCGGCTGGAGGAGCAGCGCATCGAGGCGTAAGAAGGGCGTTGCGCACATGACGGGGAAGGCCGGGGTGGTGCGGTAGAGTTCGCAGAGCTCATCGTAAATGTGGTAGGCGCACAGCAGCAGGCGCTGCGGGTCGTGGGTGGTGTGCATGAGGCCGATTTGGTATGCGGCACGACCGCCCTCCGCCTCCCCTGCTGCTGCCGAACTGTCAGAAGAAGGGCAAGAGGTGCGCAGCAGCGCCGCGTCTGGGCGATCCATCAGGGGGATTGGCAGCCGCGAGCCTTGATAGCGCATCGGCTCCAGCACCGCACGGGGCAGCTGCAGCGACAACACGTTCAGCACCGCCACCACGACCTCCGCGCAGTACCGCCCTCCGCCCGCCTTCAGACAGTGCAGGAGGAGCGTGGTGAGCACCAGGTAGCCGTGCACGGCCTCCAGCGAGTCCAGCTTCATCTGCATCAGCGCCGAACAGAGGAAGAGGAGAAACGGCGTCATCACCTCGTGGCGGTAATCGGAGGTTGGGAAGATCTTCGTTATGGCGTACAGGTACACAAGCAACGCACGGCGGATGCCGCCGCGGCGCGTGCCTCGCAGAAAGCTGCGCTCCGCCTCGACAAGAATCAGCCGGAACGCCTTCGTCGCGTCGACAACGTGACTCGACGCGTAGTGGTGCAGCTGTACGAGCAACGAGTGCAGATGCTGCTGCTGCTGCTGCTTCGAACCGCTTGTGCCTTCCCCAGCGGAGCTGGTGGCTGTGGCGGGCGCAGCAGTGGCCAGCTTCTCCAGCTCCTCCAGCAGGTGGTCCAGCCTCTGTGACCCGCTCACACGATCAGCAGACACGGCAGCCGCGGTCTCCTCAGCGGCCTCCGCACCCTCCAACGCGCCTTCGCTTTCAGCGTCCTCGCCGTCGAGGTCGTCGGCCTCGCTGTCGCCCTCAAACGACGACGGAATATCCACGTTGTCCTCCCCGCTCGCGTGCGCCTCGCCGTCGTCCATCTGGAAGGCCACGTCGCCGCCCTGCTCCACCCACTCCCCGCGTGTGAGCTGCGTCTGATCGCGCTCCTGCAGATGCAACGACGGCACCTGCTGGCGGTCCTCGCGCAGGAGGGCCTGCTGGGCGTCGCGGGCCGCTTCCTCCTCCTCCGTTAAGGTGCGAGCGACGGCGTGGGCACGGCGGGTGTCCGCCTGGAAGGACTGCATCACCGCATCGAAGTCGTCGGTAACGGCGCTCTTCGGCGGTGCAGCCCGGGTCGCGGTGTCTGTCGCGGTTTGAGGGGAGAAGCCCGGTGTGAGGAAGCGAGCGGCCGCTGCCGTCGTGCTCGTCACCTCCGCTTCTTCTCGCTCCTCGATCGATCGAGCAGCCCCGTTGCGTATCTGCGCGAGCAACGCGCGATCCGCCGCGTCGAGGACGGCGTGCGTGGGAGGCGCCGGTGCCGTCGGGTCTGCGAGAGCCGCCGCCGCCGCCGACGCTTGTGCCGCACCGCCAGCGCGTCTGTCGGGGGCCCGGGCGGCGTCCGCGAGGGGGCGCACGTCGAAGGCGCCGGAGGACTTCAAGGTGAGGCACTTCGCCTCGTGTCCGCGGCGGTACGACGCCAGCAGCGCCCGCACCTCCGCCGTGCCGGACTGCGCAAACGCCTCCTGCTCCTCCTCCGTCTTGTTGCGCCGCGGTAAGAGGTGCAGCAGGTCGTTGATCTCCGCATCGAGCTGCAGCGTTGCCGCGTCACGCTCCGCCCGCTCCCGCTGCAGCTGGGCGCGCTGCCCTTTGCTGTTGGAGATCATTTCACGAAACTTCTCTGCACGCGTCATCTTCGACGGCGGTGCGGCGCTGTTCTCGTCGAGGCCGTCCAGCCCCGTCGCCTCGCCCTCCCGCACACGGCGGACGCCCATCAAAGAGGAGGGGGCAGCAGACGCAGCAGCGCCACCGCCACCACCAGAGAGATTAAAACGGTCGATGCGCCGTGTAGTTCGAGTGGACTTGAGAGACTTATCCATCCCCATCGTGGCACTCCGCGTTGAGGCGAACGGCGAAGCCGCGTTGCCGCCGTGCGAGGCGCGGGACCGCGCAAACGGGTTCGGCGTCTCCCGCACCTCCTCCTCTGCGGGCGTGTATCGGCTACCGCTGCGCACGCCACCACCACCACCACCTACAGCCCCGCGGGACAGCAGTCCATCTCCCACGCTGCGGCTCGCGTTGACGGCGCCGTTGCCGCCGACATCGCCCTGCTGCCGCACCTGTTCTTCCTCTCGTCGACGCTCGAAGTGGCTCTGCTTTTGGGTGAATTTGTTCGTGGCGGACTTGGCGAGGGCGTTGGACTGCTGCCGCTGGTGCCGCTGCACGAGCTTGGCGTTGTGCGCCGCGCGAGAGCCCGCCATGCCTAACGGAGCGGGATCAGAAAACCCTTGATTAAAAAAAAAATTTTAAAGCAAAGAAACCACGTTGAACCTCTGCGATTTCCACAGCGAAAATGTGTGAAGCCGAGTGGAACGAAACAGTAGAAGCTGAGACACACGCTTTACAAGCGGGGAGGAGAAGTAGGGGATGAAGGATACAAAGTCCCATCGATTAAGTGCGAAATGCGAATCATCAAGACAGGCAGAAAGCCCAACGCAGCAAAGGCGAAGAATGCTCTTTTCAAGGAAACCCCAGCGGGCACGCCTGCGTCATTCACTAAGAAACCTACGCGCCGTCGTCTTCCGCAAAAGAGAGCTTGGGGACATAAGGCCGGTCGAACCGCATTCGCCCGACCTGCACCTACGCCCCATGGCGCATACTTGTTATAGCTGATGAGTTGCTGTTGATGAAATACACGGTAAAGCCACACGTACGGTCGCCTCTCCGAACCGCGTTGTGCGGACATTAAGGAAACAAGTATAACCAAAAGGAACACGTAAAGTCGAAGCCGTCAGTACAATATTTCTTTCTTTTCTTTTTGACTAGCGCAGCTGCAGCGCCTCACCGAGAACTTCACATAAACAGAGAACGGGGGTCCGTCAGCCATCCATCTGCATCGATGTGTGCGCTTCTTTGGAGTGTTGACACGGCGCCGCCCGCCTCTTCCTAGCTACTTTAGTTCCCCGTCGTGGCTGTACCTCCTCGCCACCGCCTCCGCACACCGCTTCAGCTGCTGCACGTCGGGGCCGCAGTCCAGCAAGTCTGCCCGCACCACCGGCGCCTGTACGCACTCCGACGGCTCAACAGTGCTCTTCGCCTTCCACGCCGCCGCAGCAGCAGCATCAGCCGCAAAGTCACGGTGACGCTCGGTGTAGCACCGCACCACCGTCGCCGCCTCCTCCTCGCAGTGGGACTCGCTCGGCGGGACCAGATAGCGGTACACCGTGTCCTCGATGTTCTGCAGGGCCGTGTGAAGGGGCGCTTCGGTCCTCAGCACCTTCGCGCGGTCATCCTGAACTGCGGACGGCGGCGTCTCATCCTCGTTACTCAGAAGGGCTCTATAAATCCCGTTGGTGACGGCGGCCGCGACAACCGCACCACCGTTGCGGACCCTTCCCGCCGGCTCTCGCTCGAGCGGCGGTCCGCCGGACCACCACGTCCACGGCTTGTACCAATGAAAGGGGCGCGCCGCCGCGTCACTGGTGGGGTGGGGGATGAAGGGTGAGTCGGTCACCCGGCCGTCTTGATCGTTCCTCATCGCGGTAGAGCCTTTCTCTCTGACGACTTGCTCCTCTGAGGTGGTCGCGAGCTTCACGAGGGGCACACAAATCCTGGACAGACGTTCTTGGTCCTGCGTAGATATTCCGTTGCCGCTGTCGGGAAGTGTGTCGTCCGCTGCAGGGGTGCTAGGGGGTTGAGACGGCTCGCTTTGAGATCAATTTCGATATCTCCGTTGGATCGCGCTGGACGGGGTGGGAGGAGGGGGGGGATGGGGAGAGGAGAGAATGCCAGAGCGGCACAACTACGATAAAGCGAATGTGAGAGGTGCGGGTGTGGTTGATGGAGCGCTACGCCCTTTGCAAACTACACTGCGCAGGAGAGAGGGGAGAGAAGAGAGGGATGGAGATTGAGTAACGGGGACGGCAGCGCACGGCGCACACTCTGGAACAGCAATAAAAAAAAAAGGAATTACCATCGGTGTCTCCGTCAGCGCAAGGGAGAAGAAAGCGTGTCTTCAGCAGCAGCGGAAACACGCAGAGCACAGACAAGGGAAGGGGTTGGAATGCGATGGGGCACAGGGCTGAATTGCCTGCGGGAGCACCAACATACACGCATAAGCCACTTACGCCGGATCAGTCAGTCCTAGTTCTGCACGGCAAAACGGAACCAACACAAGGACTGTTGTGGATGACGGCGGTCGGACAAGAGCTTTTGTTCACCGCCGAGGCGGGAGGGAGAGGTGCGAAGGGAACCTCAATGAGCTCTTCTTCGTTGCCAGCTCACAACACCTCCTCGCACCAGTGTCACCACGAGCGCACGACGAGCAGGCACTTCGTCACAGTACCGTCACGTGTGACACGACCAAGAATAATAATAAAAACAGATGAATGCATCTATCAGCACCTGCCGCCGCCGTGCCTCACCCATCCCAACGCCAGCCGAATGGAATCACAACGGAAGGCCGCACACCAATTCTGCGTTTATTGAGTCTAAAGGGGGAAAACAAGAAAAGAAACAACGACACAGATAAAAGTGTGTGAAAGGCGCGGTGGGCGTCGACGGCGCCGCAGCACGCCAAAGACACAGCAGCCTTTCGAAACGAACACGAGCGACACCGCACAGCGCTGTCTATCTAAATAGGATGTGCGGTGTGTTCTGCCTGTGTGGTCTCCAACACAGCCATCGTGCGGGCTGCCCAATGAAGGCGCCACAAGCTGGAGTTGATATTTTTGTTTTTTAAGTAGTGCTCGTCTCAAATCGATAACGGCGCATTTACTGTTCGTTGGTCGCCTCACCGAGGAACTCACGCTTGCGGGAGCCGGGCTTGCCAGGTCCGGCGTACGAAAGTGCACGCATCTTCTGCAGCACCTGCAGTGACGGCATCGTGGCTGCCGCGGCGTTCGCCGTGCCGCCCTCGCCCTCCCTCGGCCCCGACTCCGCCAACAACGACTGAGAGGCGCATCGACTCACCGGCGCAGACGCCGTTGCATTCTCGGGGAAAGCCCCGCTGTTGCTGCCGGCACTCCCTGCGGCCGTCATCGAGGTCCTCAAACACGATCGCAGCGGAGCCGCGCGTGTCGGGACGGCCCCGCCCGCGTTGGCGTGCAGAAACGCGCTCTCCTCCGCCGAGGGTGCTGGCGGACGGCTGCTCCGGCGGACGACGGCGGCGGCAGTACGGGTAGTGGCCTCTTGCACCTCCCCGCACCGCGCCGCCCGCGCCTCCCGCTGCCGCCGCTCCACGCTGGCGAGCTGCGCCTCCGCCTCCTGCAGCTCCGCCTGCTGCGTCCGTCGTGCCTGCGACTGCTGCTGCTGCAGTTGGTGCAGTTGGCGCCGCAAGGCGTGCTCCTCCTCCGCCCATTCCAGGCTATCTCGCTGCAGCTTCGCTTCTAGATCTTCGCGGCTCTGGAGGCGCTCCTCGGCGTCTTGGATGTCGCGCACGAAGAAGTGTAGCTTCTCGTACTCGTCGAGGGCAGCGACGTACTCCGCCTCGACCCTGTCCTTCTCGGCCAGCGCGGCGTCACACTGCGCGCCGAGCTCCTTCGCCTGGGCTTCCACCCTCTCGAGGGACGCTAGAAGGTCGTGCTTCTCCGAGGCGACGACGTCCTCGTACTTGCGGATGTCCGCCTTCAGCGTCCTCCGCTGCTGCTTGACGGCGTCGATGTCCTCCTGCATGCGGCGCGCCTCCTCTTCAGCGTCGCTCACGCGCTTCGCCCACTGCGCCACCAGCTCCACAGACATCTCGCTCTGTATCGGTCTATCGATCTATCTGTGTGTGTGTGTATAGAGATGAGTGCGCCGACTACGGTGGATCCGGCTGTGTATCAATGTGTGTATCTCGTAAAAAACAGTAAGTGGAAAGAGCCTCGACCACAAAGGCGATGTTTGGAGTTCCTCCTCTATCGAACGTGAAGAGGTGCAGGTGCGAAAGGCTCAGAGAGTATCAGCAGCCCTTTTTGTTTTTTGCGGACTCTCCGTGTTGGTGCGTGGGCAATGAAAGCTGTAGAAGGGAAAAGGAACGGAGGTGTTATGCAGGCCACGTAGCGGCGCTCTCGGTTACCACAATGTCTAGTGAAGGACGCGGGACGAACGGAACAACACTAACGGATATATCTATATACACTCGAGCGGAGAGGATCGCTGTTCTCGCACTGGGCAGCTCTGGGTTGTGTGTGCTCTGCACGAAATGGTGAAGGACGGTGTACTTCAAAGAGGTGGACGGTGCGAGAGGGAGGGCGAAGGAGTTCAGTTTTCCCACCTGAAGAATGGCGTGCAGAGAGAGGGATAAAAGAGATGCTTTACACGGCGTAACAATCGCTGACACGGTACGTGGGTCCGCCTCCAACAACAGGCATTCCAGCAGGTAGCGTAGCACTACACCAACATGGCAGGTTCTGCGAACTCGACTTAAACTGGAAAACTCCCACGACGTCTCTGCGAGCAGCGTTCATTCCATTTCGAACGCATGGAAGAGGAGGCGACACAACAAAACTCAACTTGCAAGGAGATAAGGAGAGGTGTCTCAGGCGAATGCATTCCAGAAGAGACGGAGAAGGGGTTCAACAACCGCAAACATCAGAAAAGGGGGATATCAGCACTCCAGTATGTAATGCTAACATGTCATTACGGTTACAGCAAACAACAAGACAAGAAGACAAGAGAGAGAAGAGAAGGGAAAACTACGTTGAGACGGTCAGCGGAGTGCCTCGTCCTTGTGTGTGTGTATGTGAGTGGCACTCCGCGCATGAAACGCAAAACCCCAAAGAAGAGAGTAGATGGTGGAGAAGAAAAAGCGCGTTGCGTCGTGGAGGTGGAAAACCTGCGTCCCTCTCGTTCGCCAATCTCCCTTCGTCAACGCGGCAGTCAAACCACAAAGCCGTGAGCTATGGACATCGGAAATACATACAGATGCGTACGCACATCAAGCAGCTGGAGACGGAGACGAATGCCAATAATAATAACGTAAAAGGAAAAAGAAAGGGAAAAAAGAACGCATGAAGGCCACAACAGCAGAGAGAGTTCCCGCCTGCGCATCAACAACGAAGGAGCACACACACGGAGACACAACTGTGCTGCCACTTCGTTTTTCTTCTTCTGCTGTTCACGACCTTCGGGCCTTGCGTTGGCGAAAAGCATCCAACAGCTTCGCCTGGTAGGCGGCGGCAGCCGCGCTGGAGAACTCGTACGGCACATCGCGCGCACTCGTCACCGAGCCACCGAAGTTGGCCACGGCGGCCGGAATGCCGCCCGCGGTCGGGAAGTTGTTCGCCGACCTGCGCGGAGGCGGCACCGGGGCCGAGGAAGACGCCGAGACTGCAGAAGCGGCGGTCGATATCGCTGCCCGGTCCTCACGACAGCGGGAGGTAGACGACGTCGTCTTCTCGTTTGGCGACGGGGTACGTGTGACGGTGGGTCGAGGAGGAGGATGACCATCACGCGTAGACGCCGGCCCAGGGAGAGGTCCGCTCTCCTGCTCCGGCCTCGCTGCGCCGCCACGGCTGCGAAATCGCTCGAGCTGCTGCAAGCGGTACGCGTCGCCCGTCGGTGCGTGCGTTGTCACCTCCACCTCGTGCTTCAGGTCTTGCCAGAGCTGCTGCGTCTGCCCGCTGAGATGGCGAGCACCGGTCTCCTGTGTGCGGCCGGCACTGTCCGACAGCTTCGTCCCATCCAAGTCCCTCTCGGTCGATCCCATGCTCGACACGCGTGAGCTCCCCGTGGCTCGCATCGAGCGGCGCATTTCCAACTCCTCCCGCGCCGCCTGCTTCGCGCGCAGTCGGGTCTCGGCAAGGGCGTTGGCCAACGTGGCGTTGCGCGGGTCGAGCTGCAGGGCCATCTCGTACGCCTCCGCCGCCGGGCCGTAGCGGCGCAGCTTGAAGTACGCGTCTCCCTGGCGGGCGTACCCCTTGAACCACGAGGGCCGCAGCGCCACCGCCCGGTCCGCGTCGCACAGCGCACGTCCGTAGGCCTCCTCCGCACTGCCCCACTGTCGGACGGCTTGCAAGTAGGCGGCGGAGCGGTTGCTGTGCAGCGCCGCCAGTAGCTCCACCTGCGCAGAACGCGTGGCACTGCCGCTGCTGCTGCTGTCACCACCGCCATCCACAGCGCCGCTCTGACCGAGCGCCTCGATGGCCGCTGAGTAGCGCTGGACGGCCTGCAGGAAGAGTCCGGCCTCGAAGGCGCGATTGCCCTCCTCTTTCAGCGTCTCCGCCGTCGAGGCCGGACGTGGCGGCATCGATGCGGGAGCAGCGGTGGGGGCGCGGTGCGGTGGGGTGTCGAAGGAAACGGTGCGTGCGGACTGCTTCAGCGGTGCAGCGCGGCGCTCCGCCGAGGGTGTGAAGGTGCTGTTGAGCCCCGCGCCGACACCCCCGCCCTTCAAGCACGATTTGCCGTTTGAGTAGGAGTTGAAGAGAAGGTCGGCCTCGCCGCGAAGGGACGCCGACTGCGACAGTCCCTCAGCTGAGGACGTCGGGGAGGAGCTAACCTTGAATGCGGGGGCATTGCGATGGGCCATGGCGGCCGCCGCCGTTGCCTCTGTGGAAGAGGAGGAAGAGGCGTCCGTGCGAGAAGGCGTGCGTTGGGGTACGCCATCCGGGTCGGCAACGTCAGCCGCCGTCAGGCCCATTAGGCGCATAAAGGCTTCACGGTCCACCTCTGCAGACATCGGCGAAGCAGACGCAGCGACGGTGCTAGGCGAGTCAAACAAAGAAAGCAAGAGAAGAAAAAACTGTTATACAGGCCGCTCCTACGGAACACGCCGCTGCGGGTGCTGTTGCTATTCTTGCTGTACTGGGTAGCGCGCACTTGCTGCCGCACGGTGCTACCACACTTGCGACTCCGTAGCAATCGGAAGCCGTGTAAATCCCGGAAGCGCTGGACTGCGTTGCACGCTGTTGCCTCGTTGATGCTGTGTTGGGTGCGATGAATCTTACTTTCGTTTTCTTTCTAATGAGCGTGGAGGCACAGTGCACGAGGTACGTGTCGCGCCGCAGCGCGGAAATAGCAGTTAAGCCGCAGAGGAAGGTGGAAGAGGGAGAGAAGGACACCGCAAAAGATCATTATTAAGAGGCTCCACAGAAGAGCACAGAAGGCGTTGTTTGGAGGCAATTTCTCGTGCTTCATGTGTGGTGTCCATCCAACCCACGAGCGGCATCTGGGGGACTCACAAAGGGTGTAACGGCTCCTCTGTTGCTGTTGTTCCATTTATGGCCTTATTACACGTACGCATCCCAACAGCGAAGCCCAACCGAATCAACTTCGCATCCGGCTCAGTGAAGGTGAACTGTGCGACGCCACTCCCACCAGAGGGAACACAAAGCGCCGACTCGCTTGCTGAGGCGGTCTGCCACACCTGCGCGCCTCTGTGGTCAAACGTTGACAGACGAATTCGTAGGTAGAATCAGCAAATGAAGCCCACACAAGGCACGCGCACACACACGTATCCAACTCGGAGCAGCCTACGCGGCGTCCACTACAACAGCAGAAGGAGATAAGAATACAAAGAGAATGAAAACTAAAAAGAGCGCCAATGTATGTACGCACCACAGAATCGCAACAACGGCTCACACCCCGCACACTGCAGCAGGAGAAACGCCGGTTTTCTCTCTTCCCTTACGCACTAAAGCCCATTAAAAGAAAAAGAGAAAGTTCTCGGTCGCAACACGAGGAGGAATTGGAGGTGCACGGCAGGGCATCGATGGTGTCGAGGAAGCGACCAAAAATGTCGTACTCGCGTTCACGGCTGCCACCGCCGGCTGCGGAGAGCAGAGGAGCAGAGCCCGGAGTGAAGACGGCGGCCTCCACGAGGAAGCTGAACTCTGTCTGAACATTCACGATGCATTAGCGCAGGACCAGCAACGGGTGGCCCATGAAGGTGGAGCACAAACGGCCACCACCGCCGCTGTTCGCAAGAGCCCCTGTCGTGGCGAGGCGAATGGATGGGGGTGGCCGAGCCTGTTGCACGCGCGACGGTACAAATGTACTCTTCGCCGCTGCTTCTGTGGAGGGTGCAGTGAGTGGGTCGGTCGCAACGTCCGCACGTGACGCATCGATGCTCGTCTTTCCTTGAGCACTTGTTGCGTTGACTACTGACGGCACGGAAGTCAACAACTGCGCGGCTGCAGCGACGTCGACGGGGACAGCCAGCTGATGCGGAAGAGTGTCACCGGGAGTGCGCATTAAAATCATATCGATTGGGATAATTCGATTTGCCTCCTGATCCTGCGCTTCGTAAAACAGCATATTCATGGTTTGAGATTGCGACACCGGGATTGACTCGTTGAGCGCGCGTTTGCACACGAGGAATAACGTGACCATCACTGATTCACCGGCTCCCATTGACGGCAGCGCAACGCCTTCGCGACGCAGCAGCTGCACCACATCGCTCTGCTGTGTTTTGCTCTTCAACGCCTGCAGCGCAGTTGTACTACTCTCATCTTCACTCTCCGATAGCTCATGATCGGTTGCGCCTTGCGCGTTCGATTGCGCGGATTCCAGCGCCGTTAAATCCACCTCCTCACCTTTCAGCGCCAACTTGTACGCCTCAATCTTCCGCCGTGCATTCTCCGCCTTCTCCGTCTTCTTCTTGCGCACATAAGTCTTCAGCTTCTGTTCCAGCTTCTCAATATGTTCTTCCAGCTTTCGCGTGGAGCCGGAGCTGGCCCCCGTCAGTGTCATGTCAAGCTGCACCGCCACTTTGACTCCAGGAAACGAAAGGTACGGATTCGACGCGGTCACGCCTGACGCCGAATTCGAATTGCTGAGTTCCACGCGCGCAATAATTTGCCGTCGCGAGTTACTCGTATTTGTTACGGTGAACTTCGCACCCACACGCGCGTTCGACGCAGTGCCTGAGCTTGCACCGCCACCACTCCCACCTATGCGGTCATCTGTCCCGTTACTGGAAGCAGCCGGTGCCGCGGATGGGACCATAGGCAATGTCACGTTCGCCGACGGTGGCACCGTCATCTCGAACACCCACGAGTCAGGACTGATTTCAAACGTAACTGCCTTCGTCACGACTGCTTTGATTGTCACCGTGATCGAGTTCTGAATGTTGAGAATGTTCGTGACGTGTATCTTCTCCTGCAGCACACCCTTGATGCCAGGATACAGGGTGAGCTCGATCTCGCGTGACGCGTACGGACGAATCGGGAGAAAAATGGATTGCTTATCGCTGTGCTCCATCCGAATGTGCTCTGCCGTGACGGAACGCGACTTCGATAGCTGCAGAAACAGAAATCAGTTACACCGATTTACGATGGGTAACTTCGTGGTTTTCTTCACGCCGATATTCACCTCGCCAAAGTTCTTCGTATTTTGGCCTTTTAGTTCAAATGTTGTGCCGCACAGCCGATAGGACAAACGCACAAACCGCGGCGCCTCAATTCCATCCGCTGCGATGGAGATGCCGTCCTCCTTCGTCACTGTCTCTGTTGGGCAGGCAGTACGAATAATCAACGCGTACGCCTACAGCGACGCGTTCAGTTCCAGAAGAAAGCGGTTCGTAATGTTGCGTGACGTTTCACTCAGAAACTTCAGGAGTATCGCACGCGCCTTGAAGAGCTGCTCGGCGGATTCGTTTGTGAGATAGCTGGAGTCCTCGCCTTCGCCGTACAAGCAGAGCCGCCGGAGTTCCGCTGATATTTCGCCTAGTTTGTCGCACAGGACGACATCGGTGGAGTAGAAAACTTCGATCTCCGGCGACGACGAGCGCATGTTTAGCACCACCTCACGATTCACCTTCGACTGCACACTGTACGGAATGAGCAGCAGTACGTCTGAGATTGCCCACAGCGTGGACGGCCCGTGACGAGTGTCAGCGACATCGGTGCCGCCGCTGTTGTTGCCACTGCCACCAAGATCGCATTTCCACGAGTACAACTCGTCGTGCAACTTTGTTGCACGTGTTGACATGTTGTTTGCCTCGATGTTCATCACCTGCCGGTCCTCCACCGGATTGGACGCGTTGATAATGGTGAGCTGCTTGCGATACATTGGATTCACACGCTGCGGTGTTATTCTCAGCGTGAGAGGTGGTGACGCTGACGGCGCAATGGTAAAGTTTTCGCACAGCTCTTGGAGTGCGCTTTTGTTTGTGTGCAGGATTCCCTCGATTTGAATAATTTTGCTGCGCAGCTGCATTACATTTTTTCTTTGCAGTGGCGAATGGTATTCAATCAGAAAGGTGTAACGTTTGCTCTGTCCGACCTGGCAGCCACCAAAGTTGACGGAGTGTTGAGACACCACGATGTTACTCGTAAAAAGCATCACCGCACATCGAATCACCGCACGTTGACTGCTGGCGCGACTTGCCGATTCTGCGAGCAGTTCGACTTCAAACTTCTTCTTTGCTGTCTCCCTGTTTTCGGCATCGTAAGAGGGTTGATACATCAGCGTGATAGCCGTGGACGGACTCCCTTTCCGCGCCACGATTGTCAGCTCATCCACCGTCGCGCTGCCCTTCATCAACGAGAACTTGCCGTCGTACTTGCGTCGATCGGTGTCGGCGAGTCGCACGACAACGTCCTCACGACTGTCAACATTTTGAACGCGGAGTTGCGCTAGCGCTTTCGTACCGCGATACACATCGCCGAAGTCGATCGATGTGTCCAAAAGCTCCAAAAAGTCACCATCTGCTTCTGTCCCGACGTTGACGTTGACGTACACAAACGTTGAGTTGCGTTTGTCACGCAAATTGTCACACTGGAGAACGGTGTGATACTGCTGCTGCACGTTCGAGTTCGCCCCACCAGAGCGCAGCATCAGCGAGAATGTCATGGACGCGTAGCTGTCCAGCAAAATGCGGTGCCCCAGCTTCGGATCCTCAAACTTGTCGGCTTCGTAGAGGGCAACATCCAGGCCTTTCAGCGGCATCGGTTGATCGCGAATCAGAAACAGTACCGGTTGGCAGGAGGTGTTGGTGACGACAAAGTCGGCAACCTGCGTTTTATTGGGTGCCATAGCGACCTGAATTTCGGTAAAAGAGAGTTTCAGAAACGAGACGTACACGTTTGCCCGAAAAGGAATCGTGAAGGATCTGGTGCTCTGCTGCGAAGAAGAAGTCGGTGACGCTACCTGCGTTGCATCGTCACCTGTTGTGTCTTCGGCGTTGTCTCGAAGCGTCGAAGGTGGCGCTGGCTGCGCACTGGTAGTCGTGAGCTGCACCGTGCCGATGAAAGAAGTTGCCTGTGCACCCGTAACGAGATGAGAGAACGCAGCAGGCTCGGCGCGGAAGGCAACTACCATTTGTTTTTCTTCATGTGGGGCAAGCTCAAAGGATGTGATGAGGCCGACAAGATCAAACGCTTCGCCGTATACGTAGAGAGAGTCGCGCAATCCAACCTGCTGGATGGCGTCATAGTTTTCGTTGTGCAACTGGAAGCGCAGCAACGAGCTGCTGGAAGCGATGCTGACAGACAATGGAGTATCGGTTTTGTTTCGTACTCGAATCGGCCGATAGGTTGGAATGTCGTTTACAGCCACCTCATCAAACTCGATGTTGCTGCAGTTCACTTCAAGCATTCTCAGAACGTATAAATAGACTTTCAACTAAGAAGCAAAGAAAGAGGAGCACCAGCAGTAAAACAGTTTGGGGCTCTTTGGAGCTAATGATGAATCAAGACAGATGAGCTCACCAATGCCGCCACACTGCTGCGTAGCACACAGCACTAAAGCGTTCTCTGAGCATTTGAAGCTACGTGACAGAGGCAGGAGGCAAAGAAAGAGACAGTACGAGCAGCAGCTGTACAACCCGTAGGTGTTGCCCCCGCCCCCTCCCCTGACTCGCTCTGTTATCACACAAAGACGCTTTGAGGGGAACGAGACACAAAACTTCGATTTCGGCGCTGCCACACCGAGAGAGATGCACATCTAAAGAAGCGCTCAACGCTGTGTTCGTTTTGCAGAGCTCCCATGGCTCGTGTTGACACACAGACGCAGCCAAAAGGCCCCTGATGTATTACGAGGGAAGATGTGGCCATTAAGTGCCTCCAGAGCGCCAAAACGGTGTACAAAAAATTCTTTTTTTTTTTTATGCAGGCGAAGGTCAAGGCTGCCGAAGGTTTTTTTCTGTGTGTGTGACAGAACGCAGCTGTCGATGAAATCGGATTAGTGACTGTTTTGGTGAAGCGGTAAACAAGTTACGCGACCACCGTGCACAGGCGATCTGCACAATGAACGAGTTGAGCGCGTGTGGTTTTGACATCTTCTCTTCAATGGCCGACGTCGCATTCCAAAGCTCTCTTCAGAATCCGCAACGGTGTGCCTTTCTTTCCGCTCTACCTGCTCGGTTCGCGAAACGAAGTCAGAGGAACAGACAGGGTAACGGTGACGGACTGTGTCCGCTTTCGGATCGCATTGAGTTCCATACCAACAATAGGAAGGAGAGAGGAAGAGAAGATCTCAGTGATTTGGCCTGATGACAAGCATGCGGGTTCGCCTCCATTATTTTGGCGTCGCTTAAAGACTTGAATTGCGTCACTCTTCGGGACAGAACAAAAGCGAGATATCAAAGATAGCTTCCCTAGAAAGGAGCGTATTTGGACGGATTGCCAGTGTTGACAAGCGTCTGGCTACCAGCGGCTGTACATGCCGTGACAGTGTTGATCGCGTTGTGTTTGACAGCTGAAACGAACAGGGTTCTTACACTGAAACTCTAATACGCTTAAGAGTCTTCCATTGTGTGCCTGCTCAAACAATTCTTAAGGGAGACGAGCTAAGCGTGCAACCCTTCTTTTGTAAGTGTCCTCCTGTGCAGTGGTGCTGTTTGTAAAGATGCTGGTAAACTCACACATTGAAAAGGAGAACAGCTGTCGCACGTGATGTGGACGGTACGTGCGTGATGTCTTTTCTGTGTTCACGCTTGCGAAGGACGCTGCATTCTCGATACCCGTTTGGTGACTCTCGTGGATAACACGATCGTTGCAGTTGTGAGTTCATGGCAGAGAAAAATAGTATCAGAGCTGCTGGACACTAACGAGTAGCAGAATTAGTGGTTGCTGGAGAAGCGCCTAGGTCAAAGGAAACGGAGAAAAGAATACCAAAGAGAGGTTTGGTACAAGTAAATGGCGACTGCTGAGCACAAAGCTCTTAGCAACTGCGACGTTGCGGACCTAGGATTTCTTAACGCAAATGATTTCACTGAGAGCTTGCGATTCTTTGTCGACATAGAGGTGCGTTGTGCTCTACTTACAGCAGTGGGACAGGTAAAGTCGTTTCACCTGTGTAAAAAGCGAGCGTTATCTTTGTTGCTGGAAACACAGCAAGTTGACTGTTGGAAAATAACGAGATGCGAATCTCCACTAGAAGGCGTATTTGTCGCGTTGCTGCTGCTGATCCACTTCGACCCTTCGCGTAGCAGTGTGCAATTGTTTCACGCCTGTCTCATCAGTGCCTCGCTGTAATGAGGCTTCACGATGGGAACGCATCTTCAACAACGTCTTGAGGACTCGGTCCGCTCTACGAAACTCACCTCTGGCAGCATCTCGCACATGAAAAGAATGTGCTACTCTCTCGGTTTTCACATTGCGTACTATCGTCGAAATGACGCTGGTGTGGTAGTCTTCTGGAATAATTGGCATGCCATGATGTCTTCTGTTGCAACTGGGGTGCAAAGCGTTGGTCCGAGAAGTGGAGCTCATAATGTTTTTATTTGTCGTTGGTGTGCGACTTGAATGGATGCAAGAGCCGCGCATCGTATCGTTTCAACTGATCCAATTCTCTCTAAGTAACTTTGAGATAAGCACTGCGCTGCAGGCTTCATTGATGTGATGTGTTGTGAGGACGAAGAAGCTTACTGCAGCGTCACCACAAGCTTGGTTGCGTAGGCGGTGCTCTCATAAGTGAGAGACCCAGTGTAGGGTGCCTACTTGCAATTGTTGGGATATAACTGACTTCTTTCTCTCGAATCCACTGCAAGGCGAAGTCGCACCTGTGGTGGCTCATACCGACCGTGCAACGTACGAAGTGGAGATGTGCGTGAGGTGTAGTCGTAACGCCGTAGTGAGAAAACAAATGAACTACTGTTCTTTGGGGATGCGTCTTTCATGTACATGATGGTGGCTTAGAAGTCGACTGTCGACAGGTATATGCGGCGAAACGACAGAAAGGCACGATGAGGGATGCGAGAGCGCAGCCTCCTTTGCTTCTCTTTCGGCTGAGATGTTGTCTGGTAAGCAGCTGAACTACCCTGGTACACGGTTGCGCGTTGTTTTTCCAGGTCTTAGTAGCGATCTCTGTTTAAATTCTCAAACTGCATTAAAGCGTAGTGTGATCACTGTCTGTATTTGAAGAAGAAGTATCAATCTTTTTTATGCATTCAGCTTTTTTAGCGAGTTGAATCGTAACGAGGGCTTTGCTGTAACGATAAAGTTCTTTTTCGATCGAGTACCATTACCCACACACAATCAAGGTGCGATGGAGCAACCAGTTGCATAGTTCGCGAATAGCATGACGGATCCCAACGCTGCATTCTTCGATAGCTATGAAGGTGGTGCATGTACTGCACTGTCCTGTTTCTTGTGTGAAATAGTCTTGTTCAATTAGTGGGCTGTATCTCACAAGAGCCGTTCAAATGCACTCTACAAGCGTTGTGCGCTGTCAGTCCGCAGAAGAGATTCCATACAGAATCACTGATTGGGCGTTACGAAAACAGAACGTAAATACTAGGAGTGTACGAGGAAGGCAACCACCTTGTGGACACGAGTGTGGGGACTGAAGACACGACGAATCAATTTAGGCTTGCGCACTCGCCTGGTGGGTAGGTGCTTGTGTGTGTGCTCAGCGGGAGCAAGGCGCACACGCCCTATCGATGAGGGACTGCTTTCGTCGCACCGCCAGGTGCAGACGGCCTATCAAGAGAGCCCACACGCTCAGGGGCCTGCACGCGGCTGATGCGATTTGCGGCACTGCTGTTTGACAAGCTGTCGATGTCCCCTCACTTAACGGAATTAGTAATGCCGGTGGTACAGCCGTCGCTCCTATGCAATGCAAGATACTTGTGGCTGCGCAGATGTCAATCACCGGGTTGACATTTTTCAACCTGGATATACACAACCACTTCTCTGCGTTGGCTGGTTCACTGCACTTGCGTCGTTTAACAGCAGTCAACAGCGAAAGAAGAGCATCTTCGTAACGCGAAGAACTGCTCAATACTCGAAGCACTCGATGTGTCCGACAATGGGTTTATGGAGGATCACCGCGATCTGGTTGGCGCACAACTCCTGGAGAAGCTTACTGTCCGTGAATGCGGGCTGCGTAACGTAAGGTGTTGAGGCCGCTGTCTGCTGCTTACTGAAGTTACTGTGTGTCTGTGGGAATGCGCTGTTGGCGGACGTGAGCACTCTTGTTCAATCCACCATCCTGGGACTGCTCAATGTGTGGGTGAGGTAACGTGATCGGCGTTAGCTGTTTTGAGCTGCTGTTTAGAAATCATAAGATAGAGAGGTCACTCCCCACACGACAACAACAGTGGGGTATTCAATGGCAGAGCAGCGTGACAATTGTCTGTGCACACACGCGAGCAGAAAATAAAGTCACCATCGTTTCGGATTGAAGCGCTTGATGCTGGTGTGTAAGTGCAGAGTTGCACCTTTGTGAAGGGATGGTGCTATAGAGATAGAAGTGTCAGGATAGATCAGCAGCGTTGCACGACCCACCGATCTCACGCGGTATTCCGCGTTCTTTGCTTTCACCACTCATCCGACAATTCACCACGAGCTCCGACTTCTCCTGCCACCATCTGTGATTACGCGGTTTACTTGTGGTCTACCTTGAAGATTCCTACAATGAAACTCTGTTCATCCTCCTTCTTTTCCTTCTAGTTGCTCGGAGCAGCCAATAGCGCTCACTTCCTTGCATGCTTGGGGAGCGTGTATCCTCTGCTGATTTATTGGGAGTTTCCCTTCTGATGGTTCATGTTAACTATCAGCTACAGTGTTTAGCAACTGCTGCACAGTGGCTGTATCCGCAGATTCAAATTGAAAGACAAACGAAGGGATTCCTCAGCAGGCGCTACTGCACTGTAGCAGTGGTGAGACTTAACAAGCGAGGCAACGGAAGCGGCGACGGTCTCGGTCAACAGGTGTACACAAAATGTGTGGAGCTGCGTCGTCACAGTTGCGCTGCTATGAGGCCTCTCATTTTCTTCTCTGCAGCAACAGTTTCGCACGCAGGAGAGCTGTATCTTTTGCTCTCTGTTGCTCTACATGCGGAAGACACAAATCGTTTCTCATCGCTCTACTTCGACCTCTTCTCCTTCCCTCAGATCTACCATCAGCGCATTACACAGCTCTTCCAGTAGACGAGTTCAACTCCAACACCTATGCAGACAAATGCGATCTCACGAACAGCTCCACACACCAAAAAACAAAGCCCCACTTTACGAAGATGCAGCTTCAGGGCCACATTGAGGACTTTGATGCGTCACTCTCCTGCGATTCAACTGGTGACGCTCACACAGCGCTGGGGCGTCTGCAAATGGACGGCATTGCTCAGATAGTGAGTTTCATGGGCAAGCAGTCCACCACTCGCAGTGTTCACACACTGAGTGCCGTGTGTCCGCAGATGAGGCTGGACAGAGAGACTCTGAGAAGTCACCGTGACGATGAAATGGACTGTCGTGGTGTGGCGGTATGAGACAACCGGCTGATGCACGAGATCACAGCAACCGGGAAAAGCGTGAATCCTCTAAAGATTGCACACGCGCTGTGGTGGGCGGCTCGGTGCCAGCTTCCGCTGAGTGTCACCGTCCACGATGAACGTAGCGACGTGCTGGCATTTCTGACAGATCGTGTGAGGACCCGAGTGGAGGAGCTGCACATCAATGTCAGCACAAAAGCTGCGTGCGTACAAGACCCCGCATTAGAGTGTGACGGTCAGTGCGGCATGTTTCTCTGTGCGCTTTCGACGTTTCCAAACGTGACGAAACTGTCAATTAATTGCAATTGAACGTATGGTGACTCTCGCGCTGTTGTCGACGTGAATCACGCGTTACGTGTTGCAGCAAAAATGCCGATCAGCGAAATATGCGTTCGAGGATTTAGGAAGCTGATTGACTTTGCTGCGCTGGCGGGATCGCAGCACCTTCAACGTTTGACAGCCACCCGTTGTAGAATACAGTCGGTAATGGATTTGGCGAGCTATCCGACGCTCACTGATCTCGACGTCTCCGAAAATCGTCACCTGCAGAGTGTTTCGGATCTCGCAGACGCACCACACCTCAAAACTCTCGTTGCATCGTCTTGTAATTTGCATAATTTGGACGGCCTTGGCAGCTGCCCCCACCTCAGAAAACTTGACGTATCCTAAAACGAATCTTTAGAGAGCCTTCGCGGCCTCGCCGGAGCGGAGCGTCTGGAGAAACTTGTTGCGGAGAAGTGTGAAGAGCTGTTTAGTGTAGAAGATCTCAGCTGCTGCCTACTACTCAGCAAGATCGACATATCCAACAACGGTGGATCCGGGGTAGACGTGAGCGGCCTTGCTGGTGCACCGTTCCTTCAGTCAGTCAATGCAAGAAGGTGCATGCTATGCAGTTTACATAGACTCAACCCGTGCCCGCAAATCCGCGCGATCGATACAGGCTACATAAGCCCCATAATAATCCTGGTGGCTGTAATTTATATGCTGCTTAGTGACTTCTATTTGTGGTATGCTGGAATAGGAAGGAGATATAATTTTCTGGAAAGCCATTCATGACTCGCTGAAATCGAACTCTGTGGCGACAGCCACTTCGTAGATGTCGGTATCCTTGCGGCATCCACGGGCCGTAAGCGTTGAGATGTCCTTGCTACAAACGCCAAAGATACTCCTTCTCTCAGCCGCTCCCTAAAGGTCCGGCTATGTACAAGACGAGCATAGGACTGCTGTTCCGAAGATGATCTCCATTCGCACTTTTTAAATATTTTTCTTTGAATTCCATCACGCTGACGAGGAGTGCCTGCGGTCAGCCACCCTCTGCGCTGTCCTCCGTCTCTCCTTCAGTTTGTTGTTTGCCTCATCTGCGGGTGCGCAGTGCGTATTATGCGTCTATCACTTTTTGTGTGAGTTGCCCACGTTCCTTTTCTTTCCTCAATAATAATACTAGTACTTTTCCCTTTGCGGGCTCCTCTTCACTTTTGATCTCTTTTTCTTCCATCCGGTTCGATCGATGCCGCACCCCACTTTTTCCTTTGGCGGTTTCGAGGCGTTTCGGAGCGTTACAGTCCTTTGAACTGTTGTTTCAACATCACGCAATATCTCAAAACCCCAGGTCCGTTAGCGCAGTCTCCTTTTTGTGTGTGTCGATGCACAACAACAGGAAAGAATAGCATACCTTTGTTTCCGCTTGCTGCGCACAGTCGCTTGAAGGAAACTGTCTGACAAAGCGATCAGTACCAATTCATTGAATTCATCTTTCCTTTGTTATCGTTTTCACTTGACATAAACTCTCCCTAAATTCGAAACATCGAAAGAGTGTTGCACTTGGTAAGGCGGAGTAAGGTCAGACGGGAGGCTTTCACAAGTGCGCAAGCAACGCAGCATGTTCATATTGCAAGGAAATAGTGCCCTGCAATGACTCTCCATCTGCAATGACAGTGCGGGTAAGGGATAGAGGTTGGCGCTGCTGAATTGCTGGCAAGGTCATCTTTCTCGTCATTCTTTCTTCAACGTTGTCTCCCAACTCTTCTCTCCTCCAATCTTGGTTTCTTTTCGAGTTGTCTGACGTGCACTTGGCCCTGACAGCAAACTACTTTCACGAGTGCTTGGATCACAGATGAAACACGTAGCAACACTGTGTTGCTTCTCAAGCGGCATAATAGCCGAGCAGTTTCTGTTTCCAGGTGCTTCCACCGGTGCGTGTGCTTCGTCGAAAAAGAATGAAGTGAGGCGGCACTTCGAACCCACAGATGAGCTGTGGTCGTCACTTACAACGGTTGCTGAGCACGATTGACTCGGTGCTACAGCGGCAACGCTGCCCTTTCTTTGTTGCGTCATCAGGCAGCGGATCAGAGCCATGCGATCATCGAGCAACTCTGCTCTCCTGGTACTGTGACTTACTATAGTCCTAGTTGAAGAGAACTGCCTAGCGTGGGATAAGTGAGGTGCCACAGAAGGAGACGGTAGGTGAGAAGAACAACCCCCACCCTACAAATTATCCCCTCCCAGAAAGGGCACAGGACTATGCCTCATTATAATCATGGAATTGTCTAACTCAAGTGATAGAAAGCACTGCAACTATACATACGGACATTCATTCCAATACAAACAAACTGTTCAACAGACTCTACGAAGTGGGTAGCCCGTCCTACACTTCGGAGCCGGGTGGGTGGGGAATTCAGGGTCGAGCGAATGGGAAAAACGAAAAATATGTTTAACTGCAGCATTCTAGCAGTTGAGAAAGAGAATAAAAGGAAAGGGGAGAAAGTGAGTTAGGATGAACAGCTTTTCCGGGAAGGTCATTCCATTCGCCAGCTCCAACAATAATCCAATACGTCGCATCCAACTGTTATGCGTTCGAGAAGAGTGAGAACCAAACAGAAACAGCTTGAATATACTAGCTGCAGCATCGCAGTTGCACCACACTTCTCTCGTTCTGTTGCGTTGGGTGGGTGGATGGAGATCCGTGCGCACTGGGCCCTCTCCTGCGGGACTGGTGGAGGGCGGGGGAAGTGCGCAGCGGTTGCGAGCGATGGCGCTGCGCACTTCTGCCTGCCCGACGTGCGACGCAGAAGGCGCAAGGAGCGGGACGACAGCGGAGGACTCGGGGTGCCGGAGGAGGCGGCACCGGAGGGCTACCGGCGGGCGTCCGTGTTGTGTGCCGCGGGTACAGCGCGTGCTTGGCTCTGCGCGGTCTTTCGAGTACGACCATACTTGGGTGAGTACACCATATCCCGTCCGATTTGTGAAGTTAAGCACCCACAGGCTTAGTTAGTACTGAGGTCAGTGATGACTCGGGAACCCTAAGTGCCGTACTCCCAACTCTTTTTTTAGCGCGGTGCCTCTGCCTCCCGCTGCCTCCTCGCCGTGTCCGACCTCCGGCTCCTTGCCCGCCGTCGCGCGCTGGTGCTTTCCGCCCCCGCTTTTCGCTCGCCTCACGCTGCCGTCGAAACGCGGACCAGCGAAGGGTGTGCGGCGGCGGTGCGGGCGAGATGCGGTCTCGGGAGAATGCGGCTCGCACGCTGCGCGCCAGGCGTCACGGTGCGGCCGCGCATCTCGGGACTGCACAGCGGCTCCGGCTTCGTTCCGCGGACGCGTGGAGGGCGGCGGCAAGAGGCCGTGGGGGGAGCTGTGCACAACTGCCCGTGCGCCGCTGCCGGCCGCGACTGTTTCGCAACGCCCCCCCCCCCTCCCCCCGCACGTCGCTGACGGCCACAGCGGACCGCCGGTGGAGGGGCAGGAGAGCGAGAGAGCACGGGCGCAGGCTCACAACGGAGGAGGTGCGTTGATGACACTCCGGCGCTGCCGATGCACTCGGACCGCCCTCTTGTCGTTGTGGATGCAGGCATTCTTGCTGTTGCGTTGGGTGGGTGGATGGAGATCCGTGCGCACTGGGCCCTCTCCTGCGGGACTGGTGGAGGGCGGGGGAAGTGCGCAGCGGTTGCGAGCGATGGCGCTGCGCACTTCTGCCTGCCCGACGTGCGACGCAGAAGGCGCAAGGAGCGGGACGACAGCGGAGGACTCGGGGTGCCGGAGGAGGCGGCACCGGAGGGCTACCGGCGGGCGTCCGTGTTGTGTGCCGCAGGTGCACTGGTGGGTTGCTTCTGACGGTTTCTTGTGTCGCGCCCGGCTCTGGGGTGTTGCGAGGAGGCCGTGCGGAAGTTTAGGGTCGCTCTCCAGTTGATGCGGTGTCGGCTTTCTTGTAACTTGTCTGCGGACGGTCGGTTTGCTGTGTGTCTGTGGAGATGCAGGAGAAGGGAGATCAAGAATTTGTGGGGTTGGAGGATTGCCACGATTAGCGGTACCGGTGGTGTGTATGTTTAGGTGCTCGGTTTTTATAGCTTGATATGATGGTTTTGTTGCTCAGCGCTCTCTTTGATCCGGATCACACTGAATGTGTCACCGCCTGAAATGTGCCGTTGACGCACGTTGAGTCTCCCGTCGAAGTTGAGTGCGAAATGAAACACCGCTGAATAAAGGACCAGACGGCACAACCAGGGAGAAATGGCAAGTGCATAGATGCGATAAACTCCAGTTGAGATCGTACACGAGCTGTGCATTTATCAAATGGGAAGGGTCAAGTGCGGTGGTTCACCTCTGCATCCTGCGGTGCCGCGTGTATCATCCGGATAATGAGAAACGTATAATAAGCTGCACGAGTACTGACGGGTGGGTTAACAGAAGGCAAAATCAAACAAGCGGCTGCACAGATGGTAACGTTCATTCACCGCTTCCCACCTTTACGATGCGCACACGTACTTCAATGAGAACTACACAGACAGAAAATGCTAGACGCTATATTTTGCCTAAGCAAATTGAGATTATCAACATGTCAAGGAAGCAGCTTCCTGGGCATCTGACAACGTACACGATATTTCACGTTTATGGGATATGGAAGAAACGCGTATGCCCAACGTCCCGGAGCACCCAGCACAAATCTAACGTCGACTCATTTTTATGCCATCTATTATCACCGTTGGCGCATATGCATCCTGCACACG